ATGGTATTGGAGCATCACAGGCAATCGCACAGGCGGGGATAGGTGCTCAACGATCAAAAAGGACTTGTAATGAAGCTGAGTCTGAACGAGGACCTCCAACTCAACGACGATGTAGAAACTGCGGAATAGCTGGACACAACTCACGAACTTGCCAGACAGATAGAGATGCTCCTTCTGAACCATATCCTAGCATAGCAGATGTATAACTAAGTGTGTGGTTGAATAAACAACGGTTGTAGTCACCTCAGTTGTAATGCCAAGACAAAATGGCCCGTTCGGTGATTTGGCCCGCTCGGTGATAGATTACGTTAATAGCTTATTTAATATAATATATTTATAATGTATTAATAAGTAGCGCTAAAGGTAGTAATACCTTAGAAAGTAGTAATATTATAATTATAGTATAATTATAGACTTTATTTAATAGCAATAGTAAGATAATAGATTAATATTTATTAATATACTTATATTTAGGCTACTCTAGACGTATAGTTATATAATTACTAGTATAAATATTTAAAGTTCCCTAGAAGTTTTATAGATAAGAATAATGTTGCTTATATTATTAAAAATAAACTTATACAGTATATACTTAGCTACAATAAAAATACTTTTATAGAGAAGACAAAATTTAGTTTAGTACGGTAGGCGGTAATGTAGCACTGCTATATATACGGCCTATATGCTCGCTATAATTACAGCAGATATATTAAAAGAAATATTGACTACATAATGTTAATAAAAAGGCCGCCTTATACCGCGGGCGGAATTCCGATGAGTCTTACAGATTTGGAGAGTCGTTTATTAGCGTCACAATCGCCGATCAGCTTGAAATGAGCAGATTTTCTCTGAGCATTTGCTTGATTGGTCTCCTGCTCTGAACCTCGAATGCAAAGGAGAGATATGTCTCGGATGAGTCCTCCGATATCGCCGCATTGCACAAAAGACGCGAACAACTTATCTCAATTCAATCACAAGAGCTGAACTGCTCACCGATATGAGTTGCGTAGGTATCGGCCTCCATCCCACGCAAGCTTGTATCATCCTCGAGTTGCTTGGCAACAAAGTCTTTGACCGCAGCGAGAGTTCTGGATTTGAATAATCGATTATAGCCGAGAACTTTCTGTCGGCCCCATTGCCAATCGTCGCTGTCAACGTCGACCCGATCGCCCCAAGCATGCCATAGTAAGTCTTCATAGTTCGCAACAGAGTGTAGCATGAGTACATTCCACCGAGTCAGAAGATCAAGTTTGCCTTCGTAGATGGTCTTCTCTTCAACAGTCAATCTGTCTTTTGGGGGAACGAGTGAGTTCGCCGCCTTGGTTGTTCGCCTTATCGTCGTGCCAGCTTCCAGACATTCCCGCAACTTTTTGCGCTTCATTGCTGCTCCGACAGAAGCACCAGAGCCGCTGCTTTCGTGGATAGGGTCACCATGTGAAACGATTTGGGGCTGTTCGTCATTGCTTGGCTCTGGGCTGGGTGCTCTTGGAACGCAGAGAATGCGCGCGGAAGCAGGCGCTTCGCTTGAATTTGTTGCAGGAAGAGTAGCGAGAAGGCGCCGAGATTCTCTTAGAGGGTAACGACCATATCTTCGTGAGAAGTACAGTGGCTGACAGGTTGACACTGGCCAGTCAGACCCTCGGGAATACATTCCGGCAGTGTTCGTATCGTGCATGACCAGGTCGTCACTCGTGCATGAAGCAGTAATCTGTACAGGGCGGTGCGAGATAGCATCGCCATATCTATCTGCACAAAGAGCGGGAACGGCAAGCGCATATGGTGGGAGGAATTCTTCGGTGGATGAGAGCACACACGGCGTTTGCTGAGAGGCGAGCGACCCTGGTCGTCATCTGAGGAGAGTGACGCCTCGGCGCGCACTAGTCCAAGCTGAGGACTTTGCGACGGCAATGACCCTCGCACCCTCGCACCCTCGCCCCCTCCCCCCGGCAGGACGAGAGCGGGAACGAGGAGAGGGATTCGTGATGGCGCTTGTATACGCCTGCATACGCACGCTAGGCCGATCCGAGAAACATCTCTCCCTGCGATAGTCTGGTGTGCTCCAGGAATCGCGAACCGAGAATCTCCACGGCGACCACAGGTCTATTTTTAGCATTCATAGCTACTGTGCGAGACTATTCATCGATCATCACGAAGATGGGGTCGTATAAAAGGCGGGATCCTGCGATGTACTGCGTAGGAGCGGAGTCATTTGCGACGTTGAACTTGAAGCAGAAATATGATCCCACACGTTCTTATTCTAGTCCTCAGCGGCCTTGCACATGCTTATCAGCCGGCCCACAGTATCAAAGTCCGTAGTCATGAAGATACGATGAGGTTCACACCCCTGGAGGGTGTAGCCGCGGAAGGCTCTATCGTCCGCTTCAGCTCTTCCGCCGACGAGCTATCTCTGTATGGTTGGACAGGAGAAAGTCCGTGCGGCACACCATCAGCTACGACGTACCGCTACGCAGCAGAGAATACTGTTGGGTCTGGTGTCACACTGGAGATCGTCGCTGCAGACTGCCAGGTCATGTTCTTGTCCGTTGTCGATCCAGCGGAATATTGCGATCCCGATTATGTCTTCACGTTGCGCATCGAACCATCATCCCAGAGTGACAACACGCCAAGTCCGACGGCCCAGCCCTTTTCTGTCGACACAGATTGTGCATCCACTCCGCTAACAACGAGAGCGACCCGTCCGACCCTGGTCAAGAGACCGGGCTTCAGCCTGAGTCACACGAGGTCCGTGCGGCTCTCAACCGGGACATCCAGCTTCGAGCCTCGTCCCACGTGCCTCGAGAAGTTGAAGCGTCCAACATACAGCGTGTTTCCCCCGTCTCCCACTTCGCGACAGTCTCTTACTTTTCCGAGCATTCTACCGCCGAGATCGAATATCACGACAGCTCTCCAAGCTATTCCGACTGGACCCCAGCCGGCGACCGGAGGGTCTACGACTACAACTCCATATCTGCTCATGATTGCGCTGGTCGGATCATATGTCATTTGCAATGCTTATCTCTGAGGGACTCGGTAGCTCGGGCTCTTATGACCTTGTGTCCTGTGTCGTGTGATAATTTGTTGAAGAACTCGTACATTACAGTTTTGTATCTTGCTGGACAATCGTCTTCACTTGCGTTTTCGGTATTTGATTATATAGGAAACAAATAAAACACGCATCAGAGCCATGAAGTATCAACCCTGCCACTCGGAATATATACTTTCACTGTAGAACGACGACCCGCGCCGTTTTGCGTCTGCAATGTCGCTGGATGTTTGGGCATGAGAGCCATCGCTCTAGAAAGACTGTCAGGATTGTTGCTAAACGCGACAAAGTGAATTGTGTACATTTTGAGACAATGTGCGGTGGACCTCTTCGCGGCGCACCCAACGTAGCCGCTCAACTTCGGCGGCGTCGAATCTCTCCTGGCACTCCGACCACATCTTGATCCAGTAACGTCCCTCCCGGCGTCGCGAGCCACCCTATGTAACGAGCCAGCATTGGACACTTTGATCGATAATACTCTTCAACACCGATATGAATTTGCT